TCAGGCATTTAAATCATTTTGGATTTGTAAAGTGTGTGCACCAGTGTTTGCAACCAAATCTTTTAGATTAGGCTGCATTGAAATCATCTACATTCTGTCAATATAGGTACTTGCTGTGTATCACATTCTACTCACAATTGAATTTTTTAAGATCACTTCTTACCACCTGTGCTGTGAGCGAGTGAGTAAGAGAGCATGTTAGTTTTAGGACGCATTTAGCAATATTCTAGCAATATCACGGCGGAGAGCACCAGAAATGGGCATAAAACATTTTACCCATGTGGGGAATCGAACCCTGATCTTCGGCGTGAAGAGCGAACGCTAGAACCACGAGGTTACCTCGAGGTCCCCATCTGTGACCACGATGTATGCTTTGGGATACAATATATATGTGCATCAAACTTAGAATACATATTTTCCATTGCATTCTTTTGGCGACACGAACGATTTTCACTATCAGCAATATAAAACCCTGTTCACAAACCCTTCCCTTTTGGGCTCTTTAATATTTAATGTATGTCAACTTGTATGTCTGTCTATACATTTTTGTGTAGTTTTGTTGTCCGTATATTTAGCTTTCTATATATATTTCTCGAGTTATTAACAATATATGTATTTACATTAAAATTAAGTCAAGTGATCATTACAAGATGGAAACACAACATTGTTTGTAATGTTTATTTGGTGTTCGTCAGGGATGTCAACTGTCCCCGTTCTTATTTTTCTTCTTTATTGATAAAGGCTCGTCTTTCTTTCTTTTTCTTTCTTGATATATTAACAATATGTATATTTACATTAAAATGAAGACAAGTGATCATTACAAGATGGAAACACAACATTGTTTGTAGTGTCTATTCGGTGTTCGTCAGGGATGTCAGCTGTTCCCGTTCCGTAATTCCCTTCTTTATTACTGATAGAGACTTATCTTTCTCGATTTATTAACACTATTCTCACAGTTCATCATATATTTCTGAAGGATATTTACGCATCGGTAGAAGTAATCCAAATATTGTCGCGAGAGGCGAGAAAGTGCGTTCAAATTTTACCAAAACATTAAACTTATGAATTATTTGCGACTGTTATTTCAATAGAAAGATATCACCTTATAACATGTTTTTCAGTATAAATTAACACAAAACATTGTTGGTACATGTATATACATTACAAAACATTTTGTCTCGGTGGGCGGTGGGGTAACCTAGTGGTCAAAGCGTTGGCTCACGCCGAAGAACCGGGTTCGAATCCCCACATGGGTACAATGTGACATGTTGCTGGAATGCGGCGTAATAATGTCAGTCAGGTTTTCTCTTTTTTGGTTCAATTCGACACTTGCCGATAATGAAATTTTTCTTTGATAAACAGACACAGGTGGAAATTGATAAACAGTCACAGATGGATAAATTGGAACATTACTGAAGCCATGACATACAGACAGGCAGGCAGACAGACAGACAGATTTCTATTTGTACAAGTTGCCCTGGGGCCAATAGTACATGTGTAAAATTGTAACAGTGAAATTATGCGCTACCTACAAATTTGCGAAATTATAGGGACATCAATAAATCAATGGATACCCATTAACAATTTACAATATTTTTCTCAACCTAACTATGTGGCACAACACAAGGGCTTCCTTCAATGATAAGTCAACAATTTCTGCGATAAGTAGCATACGGAATTTATGTGTTATCCAGAGATATCAATTAGTGTTTTTGTGAAAGTAACTAGTATATGTGCATACTGATGTTTTGTAAAATTTGTAAATTTCAATGCTCAAATCACAGTTGGATGATTGAAGAGCAAACTAGATATTCCTCATAAGGAGAGACTATGTGAACTGCGTGTAATGTCACGTGAAGTGTATAAGTGTATAGGTTTGAAATGTATAGGTTTGAAATGAAAAATATAATAGTAAAATATACTCATGCCAATAATGGTTGTCACCCCCCTCCCGACGACAACCCCACACACACCTCACAACCCCTCTCCAATTAAAAAATTGAAGGGGGTGACAACCATTATTGGCATGAGTATATTTTACGATTATATTTTTCATTTCAAACCTATACACTTATATTAATAGTTGAACACATACTGTGGGTATTATTTTTCATTATATTTTAGAAAATATAGTTATTATCATTAAGTGAAAAAGCTGTGTGTATCAATGTTATAAAATAAGATTTAAACATAAATATATATTATGAACAGTTCGACACAAACTGTGGGACTTATTCTCAATTATATTTAGAGTGAGTGAGTTTAATTTTACGCCGCTTTTAGCACTATTCCAGCAATATCACGGCGGGGGACAGCAGAAATGGGCTTCACACATTGTAACCATGTGGAGAATCGAACACGGGTCTTCGGCGTGACGAGCGACCGCTTTAACCACTAGGCTACCCCAACGCCCCAATTATATTTAGAAAATCGACATACATATTAATATTTAAACATACACAGTGTATCTTAATATCATATATATATCAGCAATGTACATGTACGTTAATATTTAACACAAATAGTGCGCCATATTCTCATTTATATTTCAGAAATATACATATATATATTTATGTTAAAGCACAACCTCCTAATCTCATTTTTGTAGCTTTTCATACATATATGAATACAATACAGGCAGTGTTCGTTAATGTAATATATACTCATGCCAATAATGGTTGTCACCCCCTTCAATTTTTTTAATTGGAGAGGGAGTGTGGGGTGGGGGTGTAAGGTGTGTGGAGGGTTGGGGTGTGGAGGGGGGTGACAACCATTATTGGCATGATTATTTATGGAAATTAGGAAACGAACGGTTGAGGTTTGTCTCTTTCAAATTTTATGAAGGATAAGGACAGATGGGAAATTCCATAAAAGATAAGGAAAATCTTAGCGATTAGCAAACTGACAAAAAAATCTATCTCCTTGTATTGAACAAGAACAAGTAGGAACAGATGGATAGTGCAGCTAGATGAAGTGAGTGAGTGAGTGAGTATGATTTTACACCGCTTTTAGCAATATTCCATCAAAATCACAGCGGGGGACACCAGAAATAAGGTGTTTTTCACTTTCGTCTCACGCAGACCCAGGAACAAAGATGCTTGTGTAATATGAGCTATCCTCTGCTATTTCTGGGGGCGGTGGGGTAGCCTAGTGGTTAAAGAGTCCGCTCGTCACGCCGAAGACCCGGATTCGAATCCCCACATGGGTACAATGTGTGAAGCCCATTTCTGGTGTCCCCCGCCGTGATATTGCTGGAATATGGCTGAGGGCGGCGTAAAACCAAATTCACTCACTCACTCACTATTTGAGGAAGTTCTACGAGCATTGGCCAACATGACTTTAACCTATAGACACTCTTACACCTGTATTTAATGTACCATAGCTTTTCCTTCCTGACGGGCATTTAGAGAAGAAGCGAGGATAAAATATTTATAAGATTTACGTTATGCGTTGTCAAATCTGCGGGTGAACTGACAACTCGAACCGTGCTTGATATTGTGCGACGGTGTAAAATACAGAAGTTATCATTTTTCTGATATACTCTGTGTCAACTGGTACAGAGGTGCGACGCCTCTTAAAGACTCAGGTTAGAATTGGTCTTCAGCAACCCATGCTTGTCGTAAGAGGCGACTAACGGGATCGGGTGGTCAGGCTCGCTGACTTGACTGATGCATGTCGTATCCCAGTTGACCGGTGCTCATACCACCCTAGACCCGCCCATTCTGTTATCAACTAGAAAACAAGAGTCCGCTAAATCGTGTATTTATATTTTTCGGTTAATGGGAACATTTAACGTTAAAATGGACATGGTTTCTTAGCTAATGACAGCCTTGGAATCACTTGCGATTTGGCTATTGTTGAACATTTGAGTAGATTTACGCAACAACACATTAAAAACCCCTTTTACAATTATACACGACCACCCAAATAAGAACAAAAGATAAGAAAAACAAAACAACCCACAAAAACACCACCACCACCCCACCCACATTAACACCCCACACCCTACACACAACAACATCTCCCCCAATTAAAAAGAAAACCAAACAAAAACAACCCCCAACCCCCAACCCCAAAACACAAACACACACACACACACACACACACACACACACACACACCCACACACCACACACCCCACCCACCACTCCACACACCGCCACACCACACACCACAAACAAAACAAACAATATAAAACAACAACGAAAAACTGCATCTCCATGAAGGTACAAAAATTAAATGGCAAACACTACCAGTGGCCATTTCCAAGCAGACCATGCACTATATAGCACTATAGTCTGTTTGGCTCAAAAGCGGACCCATGAATTGCAATCTAACTCGAAAACTAATAAACATATAATACTCAATGAAACGCTGATCATAATCCAAACATCAGACCAACTCTGTGGTGTTTTTGTAGAATTTATGTCCTAAAAATAAAACAAAAGTTGTATAGCAAACTATCATTAAAATATTAACAAATTTCACTTATTGTTACGAGGGAGTAGTGCAAAGAGAGGAACATCCAGGTGTACGTGAAGCATGTACGTGAAGCATGTGCACAAGTGCCGTCAAAGGTATTAATTCATTTACCTGTGCTGTGCCGTCTCCATCCTTTCTCGTACACCTGGCTGCCCCTTTCTTTGCACTCCTCCCTCGTAACAAATAGTGAACTGTGTTATATTTTAATGATAGCTTGCTATACAACTTTTTTTTTTAGGTCATAATTTCTGCAAAAACATCACAGAGTTGGTCTGATGTTTGGATTATGATCAGCGTTTCATTTAGTTTTATATGTTTATTAGTTTTCGAGTTAGATTGTAATTCATCGGTCCGCTTTTGAGCCGAACGGACTATAGGTGGTTGTTCTTTCTTAGCCAGACATACGGCACCAAACCTACTTCTCCGTCGACTGCATGCATATTAAAGTATGGCGACTGTATCACGTTACAGTGACATTAGTGTGACTGCATCGATCTCACGTGTTCTTGTGTCTGCAGGTGAGCTGGGCGTATTCGAGAAGTCGGGCTCCGGAAATCTTCCAGACAGTGTTTGGTTTGGTCAGTTTGTTTGGCTGATGTTTGTGCCGGCCATACGATCGTCACCATTGTTGTAAGTATCCCTGGTATCCGGTTATCCCTCAGACCATCAAGATATTGCTGTTGATCAATGGATTGTCTCGTCCTGACTCCATTATTTACAGACCACCTTCATAGAGCTGACACATACTATTCAACTCACACATCCTATACAACGCACACATCCTATACAACTCACACATCCTATACAACTCACATATCCTATTCAACCCACACATCCTATATAACACTCACATCCTATACAACGCACACATCCTATACAACTAACACATCCTATACAACTCACACATCCTATACAACACTCACATCCTATACAACAATCACATACTATATAACACTCACATCCTATACAACACTCACATCCTATAAAACTCAAACATCCTATAAAACTCAAACATCCTATAAGACTATCACATCCAATAGAACTCTCACATCCTATACAATCACACATCCTATACAATTCTCACACATCCTATCCAATTCACACATCCTATACAACACAAATCCTATACACACTATCCTATACAATTCACACATCCTATACAGCTCACACATCCTATACAACTCCCACATCCTATACAAATCTCATATCCTATACACCTATCATATAATATACAACTCCCACATCCTATACACATCTCATATCCTATACACCTATCATATAATATACAACTCCCACATCCTATACAAATCTCATATCCTATACACCTATCATATCCTATACAACTCCCACATCCTATACAACTCTCATATCCTATACATCATATATATGCACCTCCTCATCATACAACTCTCATATCCAATACAACTCACACATCCTATACAACACTTCATATCCTATACAACCCTCTCATATCTATACAACTCATATCCTATACAACTCTCACATCCTATACAACTCTCACATCCTAATACAACTCTCACATCCTATACAACTCTCATATCTATAGATATGAGTCCTATACAACTCATATATCTAATACAACTCACACATCCTATACAACTCTCATATCCAATACAACTCACACATCCTATACAACTCTCATATCTAATACAACTCTCACATCCTATACAACTCTCATATCCAATACAACTCACACATCCTATACAACTCTCATATCTAATACAACTCACACATCCTATACAACTCTCATATCTAATACAACTCACACATCCTATACAACTCTCATATCCAATACAACTCACACATCCTATACAACTCTCATTTCTAATACAACTCTCACATCCTAAACAACTCTCGTATCCAATACAATTCACACATCCTATAAAGCTCAAACATCCTATAAAACTATCACATCCAATAGAACTCTCACATCCTATCCCAATCACACATCCTATACAATTCTCACACATCCTATACAATTCACACATCCTCTACGACTCTCACATGCTATACAACTCATACATGCACATCCTATACAGCTATACAACTCTCTATATCCAATACACATAATCCCATACATCCACACAACACACATCCTATACAACTCTCATATCCAATACAACTCACATATCCTATACAACTCTCCATATCCAATACAACTCTTCCTCATATCCTATACAACTCCCACATCCTATACAACTCTCATATCCTATATACTCATCATATAATATACAACTCCCACATCATATATCACCTCACATCCTATACACCTCTCATATCCTATACAACTCTTACTTGTATCCTATACAACCCCTCATATCCTATACAACTCATCACATCCTATAACTCTCATATCCTATACAACTCTCACATCCTAAACAACTCACAACATCCTATACAGCACTCTCATACAGATATGACAACTATAGGATGTGTACACATCCTATGCATCTCTCATATCCAATACAACTCTCACATCCTATGCAACCCTCATATCTAATACAACTCTCATATCCAATACAACTCTCATATCCAATACAACTTCCACATCATATGCAACTCTCATATCCAATACAACTCACACACACAACCTATACAACTCTCATATCTAATACAACTCACACATCCTATACAACTCTCATATCTAATACAACTCACACATCCTATACAACTCTCATATATCTAATACAACTCCTATACACATCCTATACTATACAACTCTCATATCCAACACAACTCATACATCCTATACAACTCTCATATCCAATACAACTCTCACACATCCTATACAAGCTCTCATACAATCCAGTACATATACAACTCCCTCATATCAACCCCTACTCCTCATATCTAATACAACTCACACATCCTATACAACTATCTAATACAACTCACACATCCTATGCAACTCTCATATCTAATACAACTCATACATCCTATACAACTCTCATATCCAATACAACTCACACATCCTATACAACTCTCATATCCAATACAACTCTCACATCCTTATGCAACTCTAATAACTCTCAATACAACTCTTCACATCCTATACCAGTCATATCTACTATACAACTCATACATCCTATACAACTCACAGATCTCTAAACAACTCCCACATCCTATACAACTCACAGATCCTAAACAACTCTCATATCCAATACAACTCACACATCCCATGCAACTCTCATATTCAATGCAACTCTCATATCTATAATGACCATAGATGTACATGTAATAGACTCTATAGCATGAGACAGGATTGACATGAAATAACCGATGTTAGTTGCATAGGATGAGGGCTGTATAGATATCTATGTTGTCAGATGGGAGCTGAGCCAGGATCCAGAGCCACGGACAAGGACTCCATAAGACATGAGTGGCTGTAAGGACCCCATAGGATATGAGGCCATAGGATGCATTGATAATCGGATGCATAGGATGAGTTGTATAAGATGTATGGACTCCAGGACATGAGTGTCATAGGATCAGATTTGACATGGAGCCAAGGATGCATGATCATAGACATGAGACATATGACATTAGATTGGTCTAGGATGAGTCAGGACATGATACATAGGATGTGTGAGCTGTATCAGACATGAGAGCCAGATAGGATGAGAGCTGTATTGACAAGGAGACAGGACTACATAGGATGTGACATAGGGTGGAAGGACAGTGGACAGGTGACAGACGGATGTGACATGAAAGTGACATAGGTGGAACTCACAGGATGTGAGCCAGGATGTGAGACAGACAAGGAGAGCTGTAAGGTGGAGAGCAAGAAGGAAAGGTATGGACAAGGAGACACAGGTGAGCTGGACAGGACACAGACAAGGATGAGAGCTGTACAGACAGTATGTGAGAAACACAGACAAGGATGTGGAAAGGATATGAGATGTGGAAGCATAGATGTGAGAAAGATGGAAAGAGACAGAGGATAAAGGAGGATAAGGAAAGAAGTAGGATAAAAATAATATCTTTATATCCACATAACTTAATATTCTATACAACTTATGGATCCTGGACCCAGACAATCCCACATAGATCCTAAACAATCCCATATTCCATCCCACATGATCCCCCATATCCACACAACACACACACCAGATGGACACACAACTTCACATCCCATGCAATCCCTGAGACATCCCTGAGACCACACAACCTGACATCCACACAGCATGTGTGGAAAGTGGCATGGAGGAAAGATGTGTGAGAGACACAGTGGAGGCATGGATGGCCACACAGTGTGTGAGCATGACACAGAGCTGCACAGACGTGAGCACAGACAAGCATGGAATATGGACACAGACACAAGACGCACATAGACAGACATGAGAGCTGCATAGACACATTCCATTCCATCCCACCACGCCCTATACACACGAGACCCCATAGATCCCCACATCCCTATACAATCCCATAGATCCACACATAACCCCACAAAACAACTTATATCCACACAACACACACACTGAGCATAACCCCTGTATGGGACACACATCCCCACATAACCCCACACAACGGATCCCAAGGACAAGCACAGACACTGACAAGGACAAGCATGGAAGACAAGACACAAGGTGTGAGAAAGCACACAAGCATGAGACAGGAACAGACAGCATAGATGGAGTATAGATATGAGGAAAGGTATAGATGTGGAAAGGACATAAATATGAGAAAGGAAGAAAGAGAGTGGTATAGATAAATATAGATATGGAACACAGACATCCCACATAACTTAATGTCCTATACACACGAGATCCCCATGGAATCCCCACAGATCCTAAACACCCCATTAGCCCCATAACAACCCCACAGATCCTAAACAATCCCCATAACCCATACATAACCCCATCCACACACATCCCCATAGACACACAATAACCCCATATCCACACAACACACACACATAACTTGGGGACACACAACCCCACATCCTATGGAATCTTGAACACATAACTTATATTCCCACATAACTTGATATCCACTACAACAGTAGGATGTGGAAAGCTGTGTAGATATGAGAGTTATAGGATGTGTGGAAAGTATTAGATATAAAGAGTATAGGATGTGGAGCATGGATAAGAGTTGTAGTAGATGTGGAATAGTGAAAGGTATAAATATGGATATAGTGAGATGTGGAAAGACATAAAAAGGAAAGAAGGTGAGAAAGGGATGAGAGTTGTATGGATATGAGAGTGGAAGGAATAGATAAGAGTGGAAGGAGTGGAAAGGAATAGATATGAGTGGAAAGAAGGATAGAAGGAAAGGTATAGATGAGAAAGGGATGGAGTGGTATAGAGTGGTGGATATGGTAGGGATGGAAAGGATTCAGGAGTGGCTGGATGGAAGGAATAGTGAGGTGGTGGATGGATATGGGAGATGCATAGAATGTGTGAGCTGTACATGACGTGTGAGCTTGCATTAGACATGAGAGCTGTACAGGAAGCAATGGGCTGTATTGAGAGTATGAGAGCTGCATTAGGATGTGTCTAGGTTAGAGTTAGATATGAGACTTGTATAGGATGTGTACACACATTTTTATGCATCTCCTTCATATTCAATACAACTCCCTCAGTAATGTCCCATACAACAATCTACAT